AGAAACCAAGTGACTGCAGTGGGTATAGCGCTTTTTTTGCATTGATAAAAAGTTCTGGAACTACATAGCAGCGATGGTCCCACAGCCTTGTCATTGTACTAAACACCACTGACTTACTTCAAAAAGGGTAAATTTTAGGACATGTGAAATTATATATGTCGGGCCAGGGAGATAGCTCAGTAGAATAAGCACTTGCCTGGCAAGCACAGGGTCCAGAGTTCAATCCCCGTACAGCAAAAAAAATAAAATTAAATTAAAAAAATTTTATATATCTCAATGAAAAGTCTACATGAGGGGGCTGGTGAGATGGCTCACGGGTCTAAAGCACCTACTTAGAACAAGCTTAACAAAGCAGAGGGACTGCGGTTCAATCCCCCAGCACCACACGCCAGCCAGCCCCGCCCCCTGGTGGGCTGAGCTGGCCACACACACATACACACACACAAGTAAATAAATAAATAAATAAAGTGTACATGAAGGGTGATTTGCAAAAAACATCATAGTTTTTAGGAAATATTTCCAAATTTTATGTTAATAGTCAAGGTTCAAAAACACAACTGTTACATAACAATCGGAACAATTTCATCTTCGTGAATTTATTTAATTCTACCAAGTATACACACTTGTTGATTTGTACAGTGACCACAAGAATTTAACTACCTAGCTGGGTGCAGTGAGGCTGGAGGGCTGCTGTGAGCTTGAGGCCAGCCTGGGCTACAAAGTGAGTTCAAGGCCAGTTTGAACTGCATCTGAAACCCTTTCTTAAAAAAGAAAATAAATTAATTAGCTAGTCTTTAATTTGGCATCAACAGGAACCAACAATTAAACTGTTAACACATTTGCCTCTCCACTGGCTGGAGTACATTTTGCACTAGACAGCCTTTTGCACACTACATGCATCATTTTGTTTTTTAAGATTTTTGGGGTTTGGCTTTTTTTGTTTTTGGGGTTTTTTGTTTGTTTGTTTGTTTGTTTGTTTTTTGAGACAGTCTCAGCTAAGAAAGTCCAGGCTGGCCTTGAGCTCAGGACGGATGATCCTCTTGCCTCAGCCTCTAGAGCTGCGATTGTAGGCATGCACCTCCACACCTGGCTATGCATGCATTATTCCTTTAACTATCTGTCAGACCAACTAAAATTTTACTGAGGCTGGGTATAACAATATGTCTATTTAGAGAACTCACACACACTTAAAAGATCAAAGAAGCAAAAGAAAGTAAGAAAAACCTAGTCTGCTTAAAAATAAAGTTTCCAGAGTGTTACTGAGAAAAACCATCTACGGTTCTGGTTCCTTAGGTTTCCCCACTTTCCAGGGCCCGGTTTTACAAAGCATTGTTGTACACCAAAACCCATCAGCTCATCGAGGAAGCACTTCCTGCGGGGACAGGTGTGAAAGCCCAAGGTAACCAGACCCAACTCAATGGCCTTCTCCCTGGAGGCTCAGCCCATCACGACGACAAATGAAGCATTGAAAAAGCCAGGAGCTTGGCCCCTTCCAAGTGGACAGAGAGCACCAGGCTTCCAATCACCGAGCTCTAATACCAGGGAAAGGTAAATTCTCCAGGGAGGCAGAGCTGCAACCCCTTCTATTCTTTCCTCGCCGAGGTCACCGGATACGGCAGATGCAGATGTAAAACCTCTAGAAATTCAAGGATGCTTCTCCGGATGGGGGTGGGGAGGGGGGTGATGAAGAAAGAGATTTTTCTAAAAAAAACAGTAACGAAGCTGAATTTTAAAAGGAGAGACAAACTTGATAAGGCGTGAATAGAGGATCAGACATTCTTATATTTTCCAGCAGCAAAACAGGACGCCTCCACCCCCATCGCACAACCCTTCCCCCCATGCGAGAGCCGGGACTAAGGATCGGGGACAGTCACGGGGTTCGACTAGCAATCTGAAAGTTAACGAGGCGCCCTCTCCGCTGGGATGATTTCCAGGGTTGGGACCCAATCGTGACATAGTTGCCCTCATAGCCAGACCTCGGTCGCCATGGAAGAGACAAGGTCCTAGCGGTGAGCCGATGAATAACCCCAATTCAGTCGCCTGGGATACAGGCACTAAGAAGGAAAAGCCACCGCTGCAACTCCTACCATCGTGATTCCCAAAGGAAGTCCAGGCAGCAGGTAATAAATAAATAAATAAATAAATAAATAAATAAAACCCACCAGCCCCCCGCCCCCGGGAAGAGCGCTCCGCGATTGGGCCGCGCGGGTGTCACTCAAGGGTACCGAGTGTAGAAAAGGCGCTCGCAGCACGACACTGTCCCCACACGCCAGCAGGCTCCGGCGGGTTCGGTCATCTGTCTGTGACCCTCACGGCCTGGCCCCTCAGCAAACTCAGGGTTCCACAAAAATGGATTCTCCTAAGACTCGTCCCCCGTCCCACGGGTGGCAACTCCCCGCAGGAGGACTGCCACTTACCTGACCGCCGCTTCCACAGCAGTCAGGGCTGGGCGACTGGCCTCTCGCGACCGTTAAAACTGGAAGGAGCGTGCGCGCGCCCGGCGCCTCATCTGCAATTGGCTACTCGGGAGGGGGCGGAGACATCCGAGGGGCGCGCTTTGACCTTCTTCCCTGACGCGCAGCTTGCTGTCTGAAGAGAAGCGACGCCAGGGAGGCCTAAAGGGGCGGGGCTGGGAGCAAGCTCTCCCCTCTGATTGGTTCTCTGGGAACCTACCGCTCCCACGCGGGAAAGAGACCTCGGTTTCTCGCATGCGCAGTTATTGACATTGAGCCTTCGGCGAGTGAGGGAAGCTGCGGCAAGTGTACGGCGCGTGCGCAGAGCCGGAAGGACCCAGGCTTGGTGTTCTCCTTGGACGTTAACACCTGGCGGCCAGTTCTGAGACGAGGTAAGCATCCGCGCGCTAAGCTGGCACCCGTAGGGCTGCCCACGAGGGTCCGGGCCTTTGGAGAGAGGCCTGGAAGACAGGATACCTGAGTTTTCCCCGCCTTGCGCCGGTGACCTGACGACGCACTGGTGGGGAGGTGGAGGCAGTTCTGGACTCCTGAGTTAAGTTTTCCTAGGACTCGGTGTACCCTAAGCTGTAGGGACCTTTTAAACACTTGGGAGGCAGAGAGAAGGATAAATCACCGCCCTGGAGAAACAGCTCCACGAAAGCCCAAGGAGAGTCGGATCCGTCTGAGGAGTGACACGTGGTGTTGCCAAGGTTGGAGTGGACCACAGAGAACTCGCCTTCCTGCCCGCGGACCGCAGCCATTCCCACTGCACTGCCCAGCCTACATCCTGCAGCCTAGTTAGCCTTTCACGTTCTTCTAGCACAGCTTTGCCTCAGTGTCTTTTTTTTTTTTTTTTTTTTTTGGTGGAACCAGGGATTGAACTCAGGGCTTTGCACTTGCTAGGCAAGCACTTATTCTACTGAGCCATCTCCCAGGCCCCTACCTCAGTGTCTTGACCTAAGCTGTCACTCACAAGCATTGTTTGTCCTTGAAGGGTGCCAGAGCTGGCACTGAGAAACCAGGATGGGGGAATGTATTTTCCTCAGGATGACAAATCTGGCAGGAATCATCTCACATCTCATATGTGCCTCCTCAGAATACCTGCTCATTATTTTTCAATAGTAAAACTTTGTCTCCATCCAAAACCCCACCAGTGTATATCATCTTAAATTTACATAAATTGAAGCTGTCCCCTATTACTAATACATATTTAATCAACCAGTCCATATTTTAGGTTCCTGACAGGAAGCAAACCCACGTGTTTTGTTTTTTCTTTTTTTGTTTTTAGTGAGACAGGGTCTCACTATGCAGTTCAGGCTGGTCTTGAACTCCAAACAATCGTCCCGCCTCAGCCTCTCAAGTGCTGGGTGCCACCACACCCAGCAAACCCATGATTTGTAAACACTTTTCAGGGATACCTGAAGGAGAAAAAAAAAAGTACAAGCAGTTTTATCAGCTAATTTCACTTAGTCACAAAATGCAGACACCTTATGATCTCACACACACACAAGAACTGAGAAGTGTGAATTCCTGAGACAGCTTTAGGCTGTGTTTCTCTACAAGAAAAATATTAACCACAAATGCAAGTAGTGATGATGAGTTATTAGCATGCAGTAGGCAGTTGATCACTTTTGGCTAACCTCCCTCTGAGGGGATTGGTACTTTGGGGAGTCGATGCTTTTGTTTTTTGTTTTTAGAAGTATGACTTTTTTTCCCCCCAGTATGGGATTGAATCCAGTGCATTCAAACTGAGCTACTTCTCTAGCCCCTGATTTTTAAAAACAGTATGATAATTGCCCAAGTTGGAATCCTCTTGCCTCAGCCATTACAGAGCTGGGATTATGACATGGGCCACCAATCCTGGCTTCGTAATTTTTTTTATATACTTTCTTTTTAATCTTCTAATGTATTTTTATTATTATTTTATTGTTCATTGTTAAAGACAGTGTCACACTATGTTGTCCAGACAGGTCTCAAATCCATGGTGGTCCTTCTGCCTTGGTCTGAGTGCTGGAATTAGAACTGAATGCCACTGCACCTGGCTGTAAATAACTATTTACAACATCAAGTTTTGAAGTATTTGTTTGTCTTGAAGGTGTCAACTTGATAAATCTTTTGAATAGAGATCTTTAGCATCAATCAAGCAATTCAGAAGTTGGAAAAAAAAAATTAAAAAGTTGAGCTGACAATGGTTTGAGGCCTATAATATCTATCAAACAGGGTCTTTTTCTTGTGTTAATTGGGTTTGAACAATGAGCCTCTCCTATGCTAGGCATGTGATCTACCACTAAGCTATATTCCCAGCCCTTTTTATTAAATATAGAAAGAAATGATTAGATTTACATTTTATATGTGTGTTTTTCTGGAATTGAATCCAGGACCTTGTATTAAGCAGTTGCTCTATCACTGGGTTACACCTGCACCCCTACATTTGAATTTTTTATTTTTAAAACAAGGTCTCACTGTGTAGCCCAGGCTGACCTTGAATTTTTGGTGATCTTCCTGCCTCAGTCTCCCAAGTGCTAGGATTACAGGCATGGGCCACCACACTCATTTATGGTTAATTTTTTATCTTTCTTGTCTTTCAGTTTTTTGTACTAGATAGCATTCTGTAATCTCTAAAGACATTTTTGTTTGGACCAGGACAGGTTTGCTGTGGGTGATTTTATCTCTGAGAGCCTGCAGGGCTGTATGTAGGCATCATAATGAATTCCTTGGCACCTGATTTCATAGATCAGAATTATGACCTCACCCAATGGCATCACTTTGGTAGTTGCATGGTTTCTAAGTACTTCTTGTAATATAATCTGTCAGTCACCTGGATACCTTTTCACTCTGAGCTCATGAGATGGCCCAGGTATAGTGGTACATGCCTGGCATCCCAGCACCAAGGAGGCTGAGACAGGAGATCACCCTGACTTCAAGGCCAGCTTGGAATACGTAGCAAGACTCTGTCTCAAAAAAGCCAGTGAAATCATGTGCAGGCTGGGTTAATACCTTTAGCCAAGCGCAGGTGGTACATCAGAGGCTCCACCACTGTGTAGCTAGGAGCTGAGTACTGTCGTTTAATGAGCAATGAGCTGCATCCTCGTAGCTGCCTGTGTGTTTCATTCTCTGGGTGCTGTTAACTCCATTTGCAGATGAAGGGATGTGGCCTACACTGTATTGTGAGATCCTGTCTCAGAAAACCAAAACAAGGGCTGGCCAGATAGCTCATTGGACTAAAGCACCTGCTTAGGCAGGCACAGGGACTGGGATTTGATCCCAATGTGCTGTGCCAGCCCCGCCCCCTGGGTGGGCTGAGACATCAATTGAGACTGGGTGTGGTGGCGCAGCCTATAATCCTAGCGCTTGGGAGGCTGAAAACAGGAGGGTTACTAGGAGTCAGATCTACATAGTGAGACCCTGTAGACCCTGTACTAAATACATTTTAAAAAAGAAAAGAAAACCAAAACAAAAATGTACAGGTTGTTGGCATTATGTGACTGGATGCTTTGCTCATTTTCTGTTTCATTAGGGCCTCTTAAATGCTGCAGCACTGAGGCTGTTCTGGGTTTTTTTTGTTTGTTTGTTTGTTTTGTTTTGTTTTTTAAATTTTTTATTTATTTGTGTGTGTGTGGCCCGCTCAGCCCACCAGGGGGCGGGGCTGGCTGGCATGTGGTGCTGGGGGATTGAACTGTGGTCCCTGTGCTTTGCTAAGCTTGTTCTAAGTAGGTGCTTTAGACCACTGAGCCATCTCACCAGCCTGGCTGTTCTGTTTAGACCAGATCTGGAGATCCAGAAAGCAGGTCCAGAGGTCAAATCCTATGCTTTCCTAACAATAGACTCAAATCAGATACACTTTATCTTCTTAGAGATATGAGACATTACCTTCCCTGGCATCAGGGCTGTTGATAACACAGTGTCACCACCTACATCTAGGTTTTGGTTTGATGGGAAGGTGCTACTAGGGATTGGACCCAAAGTCTTCTGACTGAACTGCATGCCCAGCCAGTTGGGTTATTTATTTATTTATTTATTTATTTTGCAGAACCGGGGATTGAACTCAGGCCCTTGTGCTTGCCAGGGAAGCGCTTATTCCACTGAGCCATCTCCCTGGCCCCTGGTTTTTTATTTTATTGTATTGTATTTATTTTTGAAACCAGGCTGGACTCAAACTCTAAATCCTCCTACCTCAGCCTACCAGAATGTTGGGTCAACAGGTGTGTCCTGCCTCCTAATCTAGTTGTAACTTGGGATTGCTCCAGTCACAGACCTTGTTGCAGTGTCATATGGGCCAGGCCCACAGCATGGTTTGGGTTGACAGTGCAGGTGCTGGGTCCAGTGGTAACCAGAGCCACTCAGTAGAGTGCAGGTGCCAGGCCCTGGCGACAGCCCAGCGACTACAGGTGCAGCAAAGGGTGAGAAGCACTGCTGTGTGGCTCCTCATCCTGGACTGTGGCAGGTGCTCTGCCTACAGATGTTACGATGTCTCTTTATGATAAAAGCCTCTTGCCTTCAGAAGATGTTTAAAAAACCTACTGGAAAAATTACCATTTCTGTTAGTAAAGCCCACAGACTCATCATCTCTGAACTTGACAAAGCTGGAAAAGACTTGGACCACGAGAGGAGCTTTAATCTAAACCCCAGCAGCTGCTGAAGCAGAGCCAGGAGCAAAGGAAGAGTAGGGCTGGGAGGAAGTCAGGCTGGGGAGCCAGCCCTAATAAAAGCCTGTCCTCAGGAAGTGGGGCAGAGCCGTCCTGACAGCCATTTCCCTGTCCTCCTGTTTCTTTTTACCATTTTCCTTGTTCTCCTTTTTACCATCACAAGGAGCTACAATTTGAGCTGCTTTTATTGTTCCCTAAAGACTTTAGGTTGCTCCGTGGGTATCACAAGAACTGAAATCCAATCTGTATTCTTCTTTGGGCTTTGGGGACGCTTGTCATTTTTAGCAGCCACTGGAGTGGGGCCAGAGCTCCAGGAAACATCAGAAATGTCTGGAATTGTCTGAATGGCCACTGGAATTAGCCATTCAACAAAGCAGCTGTCACTGAACACTGGGGACCTTCTTGAACTTCAGCGGAGTGGGACATCTTCCAGGATGTCTGCCAGCTCTGAATCAGGACAGGAGGGTGAGATCTGAGACGGTGGGCTGTGACAAGACAGCGGATGACAGCGCACTCTCTGTCCTTTGTCCGGGACTCGCCTGCCTCAGACTTGCTGCCTTTCTTTGTCCCCACGCCGTGTCCTAGTGCCGCCTAGGGTTGGCGACATTCACCACCTAGCGGAAGAGGAACCCCAGGAGGGGTCTCAGCTCGGGTTCCACAGCAGGTGCACTCTGGGGACTAGGAGCTGTGTGACACAAAGGAACTGTGTTCTGCCAACTGAAAGGAGACTGAGGAAGGGGACATTCACTTGATCACACATACTAATTTCCTAAAGAGATTTCAGAGAAAGTGTCCAGGTGTATCATTTATCTTTCCTTGAGGATACTGCTAAGATATTTCACACAGTGAACAAAATCAGTTTCAGAGCCCCATCTGCACTGTCTGGGTTTTGGCGCCAGCCCCTCCCAGCTGCCGAGCCCCTGACTGGCTGACTTAATTATCACCCACCGGGACTGGCAGAACCCAGAGAATGTCACAGAACAGGGCATGGACTTAGAAGGTCAGTCATGGAATTAAAAACTAGTAGCTGTGTAAAACTTGAAAAGTGGGGCTGGGGAGATAGCTGAGCAGCTTAAGTTCCTGCATAGCCAGAAACAAGATCCTGAGTTCAATCCCCATTCCAAAAATAAAAGGATTTTTGGCCCAGGTATGTAGCTCAGCTGCACAAGCACCTGCCTGGCAAGTACAAGTTCCTGAGTTCAATTCCTGGTCAAAAAAAAACTTGAAAAATGTGTCAGGATCCCAGCACTTGGAGACTGAAGCAGGGACAACACAAGTTTGAGCCCAACCTGGGCTACTTAGCAAGATCCTGCCTCAAAAATTGTTTAAAATGGGGCCAAACAATTATGTTTTCTTTTATACGATGCCTTTCCCACAGAAACAGCAGAGTAGAGATGAGGGATATAGTATGGTCAGTCTGTAAAGATGGCCAGTGGCATCTCATCTCAGTATCAGCTGGCCTGATGTCTCAGCTGGAAGCTTGCGTTTAAAGGAACAGGAAATGCACTTAGTCGGTATATGTCTGCCATTGCAGCCCTTTACCTCAGGTGGGCACTCGCAGTTGGCAGTGGGCGAGGGGTGAGCTGAGGACACATCCAGGGCAATGGCAGGCAGACACTCACCTCAGAAGCTGACACCCACACAGGGCAAGGCCTGTGACCATGACTGGAACCCACCCGCTTGCATGTGCTAAGGCAGCAGCCAGGGCCCACGGGCAGCAGCTCCCTGAGTTCCAGCACTTGCATTTCTCAGGGAGACTCAAGCAGCAGGGACACCTTATGGTTCCCAGTCCTGCTGACAGGTTGTATGAAAGCTGAATCTTAAGCCTCCAAGGCAAAGTAAGGTCCTTTCCAGTGCTGAGGATTGAATGGAAGGCCCAGCCCATTTGGGGTTTTTTTGGACACAAGTCTTACTAAGTTGCCCAGGCTGTATTTGAATTGGGGGCCTCCTGTCTCAGCCTCTCACAGCACTGGGATGGCAGGTATGCACCACACCTGGCTCTTCCCTGATCTCCTTTGGAGAAGGGCTCATTTGTCCTTTTTCCAGTGAAGAAAGCAGAGGCAAGTGGTGGCTCGACTGTCACATGGAGCCCTTTCTTTCTTTCTTTTCCTTTTTTTTTTTGTGGAACCAGGGATTGAACTCAGGCCCTTGTGCTTGCCAGGAAAGCGCTTATTCCACCGAGCCCTCTCCCTGGCCCCAGTGATTACAGAAACCTTTCAAAGCCTCCTGCCGTTGGCTGCTGGGAGACCACAGAGGCCCACTAGAGTCACCATTCCCACAGCTGAGAGTCCTCCCATTCACTTGCCAGTTAAGTCCTGCAACCTGATGCCGCACCTCAAATCACTGATTAAGCCTTTGTCAAAAGCACTTCCACAAATTGGGGACTGGCTTCAGGTCCAGTGTGCACTTGCTGTGCATGAGGGCCCAGGTTCGCTCCCCAGAAGCAGCCGTACTTGTTGGAGGCCTCTGAGGAGCATGTGGGCTCCTTGGAGCCAGAGTGCAGCTTGTTCCCTTCGCGTGGCCCTCACTGCGCCCTGCTGGGTGCCCGGAACCTCCCAGGCCCCTCAGTGAGAGCCCTGATTTGGAGGCGGCATGATGAGGACCAGCTGGATTACATTACTGGCAGTGTGTCCCGGGGAACAGATGTTCCCATTCAAATCCCTGAAACTGGAAACATTGGAAGACAACAATCATGACATTGATTGATAGGAAAGTTTACTGTGTCAGACTGCTAGAGCTCAGCTGCAGAACAGACTCACCGCCGTCTTTATCCTCGGAGTGCAGACACACACACACAGAAATACGGTCACTCCCCTCAGGTCCCCGTTCTTGTTTGGTGGACTATTTCATGTTTCTTTATTAAATTAGAGCCCCATTTGGATTTCACACTCAAAACCTCTCCTTCCTGAGAAAACAGCACCTCTGTTACTTTGAGATATTTTTGGTCTGTTAGTTGGAAATATTTATAGGCTGCCAGGGTCTGGACCGGTGAGAACGCGGGGGTGGGGCGGGCTGGAGTGTGTCTGACTTGCCAGTCCCCTAAATACCCTAAAAAGAGCTGAGCATGGTGGTGCCTCCCTGTAATCTCAGCACTCAGAAGGTTGAGGCAGGAGGATCATTGTGAGCAGAGATCAGCTTGGGCTACAAAGTGAGCTCAAGGCAAGCCTGAACTGCATAATGAGACCCTGTCTTGAGAAAGAAAAAAAAAAAAAAAATTACAAACACGCTAAAGAAAGTGGGTATTACTCATGTGATTATTTTGAGTTTGGTTTTTTTCTTTTTTTGGTGGGGAGGCGAGACAGGATCTCACTTGTAGTTCAGACTGGCCTTGAACTCACTGTGGAGCCCAGCCCAGCCTCAAATTCCTGGTGATTCTCCTGCCTCAGCTTCCTGAGCACTGGGATCACAGACAAGTATCACTACACCTGGGTCAGGGCTGTTCACTTGGGTTGTATGAAAAGCTATGTGTGGGACACATTGTGCTGAGAGGCACAGATCCTACTAAAAAGCTGGCCTTCTCCTTGTCCATTTTAGGTCCTGACAAGCACCCACCCCTCATGAGCACCTTGGGTTTACTACGAGGTCCTGCAGCACTGGCCAGAGCATGCTTGGGGCTTTGGAGCCTCAGGCTTGGGGAGAAGCGGACACTGCTGTCCCCAGGAGGCCCTGCTGCCATGCTACAGGTGGCCAGGAAGAGGGACTACCCTGCCCTGCTGCCCCTGGATGAGAGTGAGCTGGAAGAGCAGTTCGTGAAGGGACATGGGCCCGGGGGCCAAGCCACCAACAAGACCAGCAACTGCGTAGTACTGAAGCATGTGCCCTCAGGGCTGGTCGTGAAGGTAGAGGCCATGGGGTAGGGTCCCTGTGGGGACAGGGACAAGTGCCAAGGCACCTGCTATGGCAGTGGACGGGCTATGGAGGGTCTCACTGTGCAGTTCAGTCTGGCCTCAAACTCATCATGTAGACTATGCTGGCCTTGAACTTGAAGCCCTCCTCCTGCTCCAGCCTCCCAAGTGGCTGGGATTACACTTGTGTGTCACCATGCCTGGCTTAAAGCTTTCAGTAACAGCCAGCCAGCTGTAGCATGTATGCCATTGGTTTGCCACCACTGGTTTAGCCTGTCTTTTATTTAGGTGTGTGTGTGTGTGTGTGTGTGCGCGCACGCGTGCGCGTGCCGGGAACTAAACTCATGACCTTGTGTTTGCCAAGCAGGTAGTGTGTCATAGAGCTGAATCTCCTGCCCCTTATTTAGGCTTTTGAGCCGGAGTTCTCACTATATCGTTCAGGCTGGCTTGATGAATGTTTTCATCTTTATTTGGGGACTCTAGTTACATGAAAACTCTTGTTGCTTATAAACAACAAAAAAAAATTTTTTTTTAATTGTGGGCCAGGGAGATGGCTCAGTGGAATAAGCGCTTCCCTGGCAAGCGCAAGGGCCTGAGTTCAATCCCCGGTTCCGCAATAAATAAGATAAAAATTAATTGTAAGAATAATCAAAGAGGGCTGGGGAGATGGCTCAGTAAACTAAGCACTTGCCTGGCAAGCACAAGGGCCTGAGTTCAATCCCCAGTTCTGCCAAAAAATAATAATAATAATAATCCAGGGCCAGCCTGATAGCTCAGCAGACTAAACCACCTGCTTAGACAGAGTGCAGTGGCTGGGAGCCTCAGGATTGAGACGGCATGGTGGTGCACGCCTGTAATCCCAGCACTTGGGAGGCTGAAAACAGAATCACTATGAGTCCAGTCTACATAGTGGGACCTTATAGACCCGGTAGAAGCTGTCCTAACTACAAAAAAAAGAATTACAGCTGGACATGGTAATGCACGTCTGTAACTCCAGCCCATTGGTGGCTGAGGTAGGAGGATCACTCTGAATTTTAGGCCAGCCTGAACTGCACAGTGAGACTCTGTCTTAAAAAAAAAAGAAAGTAGGGGCCGGGGAGATGGCTCAATGGAATAAGCACTTCCCTGGCAAGCGCAAGGGCCTGAGTTCAATCCCCAGTTCCACCAAAAAAAAAAAAGGACAAAGAGCAATCAGAATGAAAGCCACCTAATGGAAGTATGGTGCAGTAAGCGGGGCCAGTGGCGTGTGCCTGATCCCAGCACTCGGAAACTGTGGCAGGAGGATCACAGTGAGTTCAAGGCCAGCCTGGGCTACATAGTGAGAGCTGTCTTTTTTGTATTTAGTACAGGGTCTACAGGCTTTCACTACAGTTTGGACTCTAGTGATCCTCCTGTTTTCAGCCTTCCAAGTGCTGGGATTACGGGCACGTGCTACCATGCCCAGACTCGTTAACTGGCTCAGCGCGTACCGGGGGATGGGACCAGCACAGCGTGAGGGACTGAGGATAGATCCCTGGTCCCCGCACTTGCCAAAGCAGGTGCTTACTCAGCTGAGCTATCTCACAGGCCTGTCTTCAAAAACAAAAACAAAAAGTGAAAGAAGCAGTCATAGACGGTGGCAGGGAGGGTCTGGTTTTCACTGCTTTGCCTGCTGGGTTTGTCCCTGCCTGTAAAGGGACCTGGCTGGAGTGACTGCTGAGGCCCCACCCCGACCCCCTGAATGTGCCAGGAAGCATCCACAGGGAGTTTCGGTGGTAACTCCCATCAGTGTGTAAATGATGGCTAGAGTAGACGCAGTGCGCTGAGGCAGGAGGATCACTGCAAAGACCAGCCAGACATTCACAGAGTCATTCATGTCTTGCAGTGCCATCAGACAAGATCCGTGGATCAGAACAGGAAGCTGGCTCGGAAAATCCTACAGGAAAAAGTGGATGTTTTCTACAATGGTGAAAACAGTCCTGTTTGTAGAGAGAAACGAGAGGCAGAGAAGAAAAAGCAAGAAAGGAAGAAAAGAGCAAAGGAAAGGCTAGAAAAAAAGAAAGTACTGAAGGAACTGCGGGAATCAAGTCGGAATCCTGCTGTGGATAGCACTGCGGGTTCTGACTGAACGTGCCAGAAGCATCCACCAGGAATTGCGGTGGCGCCTCCCACCAGGGCGTACCTGACGGGCTAGAGCAGGCGTGGCGCCGAGGCCGGAGGATCGCCGCCAAGGCCAGCCAGAGCTGCGTAGTGAGCTCAGGGGCAGCTCAACTACCAGTGAGACCTTGTCTCAGAAAGAAACAAAATGAATAATGGACTAAACTCAGCAGAGGTTGCTGCACACTTTGAGAACAAAAGTACCAAGAAGCCATGACTACAAAAGGGGAGCAGTGGGGCCGGGGAGATGGCTCAGTAGGATAAGCGCTTGACTGGCAAACGCAAGGATCTGAGTTCAATCCCCGGTTCCGCAAAAAAAAAAAAAGGGGGGGGGGGGACAAAGGCTTTTCTCGGGGCAGGGGACTGCGCAGCCCTCAGTGGGGCTGCTGGGCTGGCTGGCAGGCAGTTGTTTTGTTTTACAGAATGGGGGACCAAACTCAGGAGTGTTCTGCCACCAAGCTACATCCCAGCTCTTTTTGAGACAGGACCCTTGTGGTCTTCCTGCCTCATCCTTCTGAGTAGCTGAGATTACAAGGGTGTGCCATTGCACACAGCCAGGGATGATTCTTGACATAGGCCATTAGAAGGGTCTCCATTTCTTTTTTTTTTTTTAATCTTTTTCAGAGAGGGTCTTGTTGTGCAGCTCAGGCTGGCCTTGAGCTCACTTTGTAGCCCAGGCTAGTCTTGAATTTGCAATGCTCCTCCTGCCTCAGCCTCCTGAGTGCTAGGATTGTACTGAGATTACAGGTGTGAACCACCATACAGCTTGCTTGGGGTTAAGAAGCCATTTATCCCATGAGGTGAAGAGGTTAAGAGGAAAAGACGGCAAAGGTGTTACTGAGGTGCTTGCCATTTACTGTTAGCTTGTGGACAGAGCACATGTGGCCAGTGACATCTCCTGTACATTGATGGGGGGTTCGTTTTGTTTCCAGTGCCAGGGTCAAACCCAGGGCCTCCCCGCTGGGCTGCACTCCCAGGCCTGTCATGTTTTCCATCGTCTGGGTGAGGCTCGGTGCCATCAGACACAGCATGCCTTACTGACCAAGGACAGAAAACACACGCTCTGGAACACTCTGGAATGTGCAGGCTTGCGCAGCCCCCAGCGAGGACGAGGACGTTGGCATGGCAGTGGCCTTTTGCTGCATCAGCCTTGTGGCCCCAAATTTTCCAGTTTCTTTCCTAGCATGTGGCATCTGCTGCTGTCAGACACGCCCTGCCTCGCCTGGAGCACAGGGGCGCTTTCCCTGGCCAGCTGGGCTGCGGCATGAGCGCACGCAGGGCCCTCTGCAGCAGGTGAGCACAGCTCAGAGGAGCAGTCCCAGCCCTCAGGTGGCTGAGGCAGGAGGGTCACGCAAGTGCGAGGCCAGCTTGACCTATATGGTGAGACCCTATCTCTCAAAGTAAGCCAAAAAAAGGGGGAGGGGGTCTTTAAGACAGTACATCAGAATTTTCCAAGGAACTCACATAATACAATTTGTTAATGAAAATAAGCTTTATTACCTCAAGTAATAAATACAAAGATGCAAACAGCTTTAGTCATTTTCTTCTGGATATTTTGATCAACTTAGGGCAAATGCAGAATGAAATCTACAGTCTGAAAGTGTCCAGGGTCCGTTTTAGGTGTGGTCGGTTGCTCTTTCTTCTGTATTTATAACTTGTGCATTTTTAGAACTGACTTCAAAGCGCTAAGAGTCATGCAAATGCGTAAGCAGAGAGGCTCCGCCCCATCAGCTGGGTGCTGCCGGTGCAGAACCCAGTCCCAGGCAGCAGGGTCTAGGACAGGGACAGGGAGCAAAGATCGATGGGGAGGTGTAGATGTACTCAACAGAGGAGAGTAAAGGGAGACAGTGGGATCTTGGGTGGAAACAACGGTGTGTTGTAAAATAACGCACGTGCATCTTTTACATCAATGCTTAAAAAAACAAACCCCTGGGCTGGCCTCACTATGTCAGATGCAAACCCGGATTCCCTGTGAGATCTTTTCTCATTCTTGGGTTCACAGCCTCGTAAACCACAGCAGAAAAGAACTAAACTGTTAACATTTCCAAAATGGGTCTCTCCGCAACGGGGCGCAGGCTGCACCTCCGCTGCAGAGGTCAGAGGGGGCCGCTGCGCTAGGACCTGGCGTTGCGCTCCGTCTCGGCGAGACACTCCCGGACCAGCCCGCGCGCGTGGATGATGCCTGCGGGAGCAGAGGCCCGGTCAGTGGGCGGACAACCACACTCCCGCGGGCATCCAGGGGACCTACGCACTGGCCAGAGCGCTGCGTGCCCATAAGTCCCACTACAGGGAGGCTGAGGCAGGAAGATGGTCTGCACTCTAGGAGTTCAAGACCAGCCCTGGCAACAGAGTGAGATCCTGTCTCAAAACCTAAACTCAAACATTAGAAAACACCCAGACACACGAGTGGTTTTAGGGGACAGGGACAGACCATCACAGCCCAGGCAGCGACAGGCTCCTGCAAGAGGTGTTGTGGGGAAGGCCGTGTGAGGGAGGCAAGAGGGGGCATCTAGCGGCAGGGGGGAGGGGGAAAGAGTGTGTGCACTCAAAAAAGCAAAAACCTGCTAAGTCCACACCTCACAAATTACCTAGAGCTTCAGAAAACTTTTTGCAAGGCCAAACACCAAATACAGTAGGCCACGTAGATCACAGCTGCTCCAGCGAACCTTGGGAGCAGTCCCAAACTCCATGGGCGTAATGGGTGTGGCCACATTCCACTAAATCTAATTTATAGACACTGAAGTCTGAATTTCACGCCCCACTCCTTTTTTTGAGATGGGCAGGGTCTCCCTATGTAGTCAGGCCTTGAACTCCCAAAGGTGCCCAGGCTGGTCTTGAACTCATGCACCCAGACTAATCTCAAACGTGTAACGATCCTCTTGTCTCAGCCTCCTGAGTAAAGGGATTACAGATGTGCACCGCCATCCCTGGCTTATTTTTATTTATTTTGGTGGAACTGGGGATTGAACTCCAGCCCTTGCGCTTGCCAGGGAAGCACTTATTTCACTGAGCCATCCCCCCAGCCCCTTGGCGTTTTTTTTCTTTTTCTTTTTTTTTTGCGGAACTGGGGATTAAACTCAGACCCTTTCAAGTGCTTATTCTACTGAGCCATCATCTCCCTGGCCCCGACTTTTTTTTTTTTTTTTTTTTTTTTGGCAGAACCAGGGATTGAACTCAGATCCTTGCGTTTGCCAGTCAAACACTTATCCTACTGAGCCATCTCCCCGGCCCCTCGACTTATTTTTTTATAACCATAAAAAACTATAAAAATCATTTTTGGCTCATGGGCTGTAGATTTGCCAACCTATCAACAATGTTCCTACCAGACAGGGTATGGTCCCAGCTACTCAGCTGAGCCAACAGTCAGATGCCCCCTCTTAAGAAAAAAAAAAAGACATTATGGCACATGGCTATAATCCCAGCACTGAGAGAAGCTGAGGCAGGAGGACTGCAAGTTTGGGGTCTTTGTTGTGGGTAACTTAGCAACTTAGTGAGACCCTGTCTACAAACACTAACAATAGAAAGAAGTACAGATATAGCTCCATACACAAGTCCCAGGTGCAGCACCCAATACTGCCAAAAAAAGAAAACAGATAATGCTCCTGCTTGTGCCATGGCTCTGCGGCTGTCACCCTGCTGAGCCACACTTATTAGCCAGGGCCCTGGGTGTCCTCCCTACAGTGGGGCTGTGGCAGGCCCAGGGCGGGCCCTGAAGCAGTTCCCTGCTAGATGCTGGGCTCCACTGTCCCCCCCAGGAGTTCCCATTTGGGAAACAGATGTTCTACCTACCAGAACTGCCCCAGGCCCTGCAATCCTCCAGCAGCGACAGCCACTTGCCTCCTGGTGAGACCAGGGTGGGAGCCTTTACTTTCTTCTTGTTCCCCACCCCTTGCATCAAACCAGCTTCTCATCCGGGCATGGCCCACCCAGGCTGTGAATGCGGCCAGGCCCTTCCCTACAGGAGCCCATCCTTAGCTGGGCCTGCCACCCCAAGAGTAGCCGCTACACACCCATCAGCAAAGAACATTCCAGCTCCTTCTCCCCAGCTGCTTCTCTGACCATTTTCAGGACACCCACACACACACACTTATGACCCCAGCACTCAGGAGACTGAGGCAAGAGGGTGGCTTAATCAACACCAGCCTGGACAACTTAACAAGACCCTGTCCTAAAAAAATAAAAAGACCTGGGCCTGGGGAGATAGCTCAGAGGAATAAGTGCTTGCCTGGCAAGCGCAGGATCTTGAGTTCAATCCCTGGTTCCGCAAAAAAAAAAAAGGCAAAAAAAAAAAAGAAAGAAAACATGTATGGCCAGCCAGATAGCTCAGTGGATCAAAGCGCCTGCTTGGGTTCGATTCCCAGCATGCCATGCTAGCCCTGCCCTCAGGGCACACTGAGATGACAACTGGATTGAGACTGGATGTGGTGGCACGTACCTATAATCCAGCACTTGGAAGGCTAAGAAACAAGAAGGATCACAAGTCTGATCTGTATAGTGAGGCCCTACAGACCCTACACTAAATACATTAAAAAAAAATAAAGACCTGGAGGGGCTGGGGAGATGGCTCAGTAGAATAAGCGCTTCCCTGGCAAGTGCAAGGGTCTGAGTTCAATCCCTGGTTCTACAAAAAAATAAATAAATAAATAAATAAATAAATAAATAAATAAAGACCTGGAGATGTGGATAGGTAGCTCAATGCAAAAGCCCTGGTTCAATCTTCAGTACTAAAAACAGGAAAAATCAACTTTCCTAGCCCTTCCACCTGCATTACACGAGGTCACAAGCTGCCTATCCTCCACCTCGTGAGAGTCCCTTGTTTTCTGTGACACTGTCCTCCACCAATCCCTACAGAACCTAAAAGTGCCCCAGCCCAAGGACCAACCCACATTTTTCCCTAACCCCTGCTGCAAGGAGGTGACAGCAAATGACAATGCGAACACTGAGGGGCCCTAACTGCAGGCCAAAGCAGTCACTTCCCATAGTGTCCCCCAAGGGCAGCAGAGCAGGTGGACACAGCCCAGGAAGCTGGCAGCCTCTGTGACAGCAGCAGGAACCACTTCCGCCACTCCAGTGTTGCCCAAGCCACCCCCACACCGTCAGGGCCTTCCCCACCCATCTCCAACGGTGTCCTCAGAATTCTCTTTTCTTTTGTCTTTTTTCCCAAATTAGGAACTAATATTGAGGATTTAATATTGGGGATTAAACTCAGGGAACACTGAGCTACATCCCCAGCCCTTTTTAAAAATTGTATTTTGAGGGCTGGAGAGATGGCTCAGTAGAATAAGCACTTATCTGGCAAGCACAAAAGCCCGAGTTCAATCCCTGGTTCTGCCAGGGAAATTTTTTTTGGAGGAACCGGGGATTGAAGTCAGGCTCTTGCACGGGCAAGCACTTATTCTACCGAGCTATCTCCCCAGTCCCCTAAAAATTGTATTTTGAGACAGGTTCTCATTAATGCACTATTACTCATGCTGGCCTTAAACTTGGACTCTTCCTGCCTCAGCTTCACAAGTAGCTGGAACTGCAGGTATGCACCGCCATACCCAGGTTCAAAAACGTCTGGGACAGTGAGTGAAGGGACAGTGAACAGAGAGTTGGGGTGGAGGGGCAGCCCGCACACGCTCACCCCGCTTTAGCCGCTCCATGGCGCTCTTGCTGCCTGCGTATGTGGGTCTGATCTCCTTTCCCAGCTCCTCAATGATGGCCAGCAGCTCTGCATATTTGCTCTGGGGTACCTGGCTGTTTCCAGTTCCCTGGAATAAGAGCAACAGGGGGTCACTGAGCAACAGGATGGAACCTGACCCCAAAGCCACCACCTTGCAAAAATCCCCTGCAAGGTCAGGACTCTTGTGAGGTCAAGATCCCATCACCTTTAGAGCCCATGGGCTCTGGGCTCCCAGGACAGGGGCTAGTCACAGCATACCCCTTTCTGGGGCCACTGCAGCACAGGAAGCTGCTCCCACCCTCCTGTCCCCACCTCCAGGGACCCTGCCATCTCAGAGAAAGGGTTAGCCATCTCCCCAAAGAACAGCCAGGAAGTCCCTGGGGATGTCATACCCACAGCGAGTAGGCGCTAAAGCCACCCTGGGCTGGGCGGGACCACAGTCCTGGTGACCCAGGAGGGGCCCAAGATGCATGGCATGTGCCCACCATCCCTCTGAGGGCCTGCAAGGGACACCCCATCTCCAATCCAGCACCCTTGGCCCTCATAAGCACCCAAACCAGGGAGGTGCCTGGCTCAGCCACCGCAGACTCTTCCTCCTCCTTGCCCTTGTCCTGGGCCTGCTTGGCCCCTGGCTGGCCCAGGGCAGCCAGCTTAAGTCGCAGTGCCAGGATCTGCCGTTCCTCCCACTGCAGCTGCCCAGTCCCTAGGCGCAGCCACTGCCCAGCCTCCCAGTGCCGGAGCCGCAAGGCCAAGGCATGGCGCTGTCGCTCCAGGCTGCGCCTCGGCCCATCTTCCCGCCGCTGCCACCACCTCTTCTGTGAGGCCTGGGCCACAGCCTGAGCCTGCTTTTCGTGGCAGGACAGGACCACCTGACGGGGCATAGCAGGGAGCTGTAGGCCACCGTGGGGCCACACTGGCAGAGAAGCAGCTCCATGGCAACCCCAGAATGCTGGTGGGGGCCCCGGAGGGAAGGAACCTTGTTGTTTGTGACCAGGGCTCGCAACCAGGGCTCAGAGGGCTGTGACACCACTTCACCAGGGGGAGGGAGGCCCACAGATCAGATCCCGGAGACTGCAGGATGGCTTCCTCCCTAAAGAATGGACCTGGGGTGGCCCCACTTAACAGACAAACACCCCAGGTTCTGTGGCGTCATCATGTGGGGTTGCCAGCTTTAAGTGCAGGGACCAGGAGGGAACCAAACAGCTTACTGGGGGACCACACTGTCACCACCAGCTCCAGAGGCAGTGGAGACCCTCCAGTCCCACCTTCATGGTCCTGAGTTGGGCAGAACAGAAAACAGGAAAGAGAGGGCCACAAGAGAAATGTGGATGGTGGCCTTGGTGTGTCCCTGTGACCTGCAGTCCTGGTCCCTCCTACATTCCGGGGCTTCCCGCACTGTCTGGATCCCCCTTCTGCCCATCCCAGTGCCCAGCCCACCTAGCCCACTCCTGGCAGCTCCACACATGACTGTACCTGGGTGTACCCTAGTGATGGTGGCCCATAGTCACTCAGCAACTGGCGGTACTGGGAGGATGTGGCCATGCTGGTGGAGGGCGAGTGTACACTTCCAGCTGCGGAGGAGAGAGAAGGGTCAGGGGTCTCCCAGCTGCACGCCAAGTAGCGACACCAGGTCCTGCAACGACAGCCCCCCTGCCTAGGACCGGTCACTCGAATGGCCATAGTGACGGACAGCAACCACCTCCCCCCCTGTACCTCAGAGCACACAGTGACCATGCACTCGGCCCTGTCACACTGCACATGCCTTCCAAGAAGGGGGCTGCTACCAAAGCACGTGTTTATGCTGTCCTCAGCCTAATCCCTGCTGTTTCTCGTCCTTGGTCCCCGCTCACCAGAGGCCAATGGCCTCAAGCCCAGAGCCCAACTGCTACCAAGGCTGATACAACCTAGGCTCAGATTGATCCAGAAGCCCACCTCTGCCGCAGTGACAAACGGGTGACAAGGTGCCCCGCAGGAAGGCAGGGCTCAACACAGTACTCTCCTCAAGCAGTGCCCAGACAAAGCCCTCGAGGCACCACTGAGCATGCTGCCCCATTAAAGAGGGACAGGACTCCGAACAGTCACCAGACCTGCACCCCAAAAGGTAAGAGCAGGTTCCACCAGCGTCAGGGACCAAGCAAGACCTATGACCAGGCCCAGATAATCCTCTCCTGGACATAGCAGCGGAGGGAGGCCCACGAAGGGGCAGGCGGACCCATCATGGCATCCGAGTGGCCCCAAGCAGGTGGTGGCTGGCCTGCAGAATCACAAACAGCAGTAACCATGGAGAATCTACCTAGTCCTTCTCAGCAGCTGCCTGCCCGCTGCCCCTGGAGCCAAACAGCCTCTGTCTCATGCACACAGCGGGCTCTGCGGACTTGGCCCCAGGGATAGACAGCTGGTGCCAGGCTGGCCAAGCCACCAGCTGCATGTAGTGGGGGCGGGGTCCAGAAGCTGAGGTTACAGAGCGGGAAGGGGACTCGGCCCCATGGCCCCAGGTGCCCAGCAGCAAGCCAGAGACCCCCAAGGCTGGACCCTGTGCCCGGGACCTGGGGATGGCCTCGGCAGTGTCTTCCTGTCAGGCCTGCCGATCTCCCACAGGGCCTAGTTCCCATCCAGGCACTAAGTCCCACCTTGGCTGGGCAGAGCAGAGCGCCTCTGAGCGCCTCGGTTTCCAGAGCTCTAAGTGCGGATGAGATGCTGCAGCATGAGGACACAGGTGCAAGACAGGAACACAGGACAGGTGTGCCTGGGGAGCCGTCATGGCCACAGCGGCAAACTGCCCTTGGCGGCAGCTGGCACACTGCACGGGGTCACAGGCAAGCCCAGCCCCCTCACTGACCAAATCTCCAGGTCCTGGGCCTTCAGGGGTGGCCAGTGCAGGATGCTGGTGCAGGCAGCAGTCCTCTGTCACCCCAGGGCTTTGTCTGGTTGCTTCTCGAGAAGGGTACTACATTGAGCCCTGCCTTCCTGCAGGGTGCCCTGTCACCAGCTTGTCACTGCGGCAGAGGTGGGCTTCCAAGGGAATCTGTTAGGCTGCAGTGCCCTGCAAGAGAGGGCCTTCTGCCCTCTCCCTCGAAACTGCCACTGTCTTCTGTCACTTCCCCAGTCCTCCTCCTCTCTGGGACCAGGCCAAGCTGTGCACCTTTCGTCGGGCCCCTGCCTCTCTGAGCCTCAGTTTCCCCACACTCCACAAGGGAAGTCTAGACTCCACAGTGTAAGGCTCTGGGGTTAGGTTCAGGGGACCTCAGGGAGGAGAAGAGGAAGGAGAAATCCGCCCCATTTTGATTGTAGGGTGGGCAATGGCTCAGACACCGGGTAAAGCGGCGGGTGACTGACTATGCCAAGATGTGGACAGTGGTGTTTGCCCCTGGGCAGCGCTGGTGGAATGGCCCAGATGCCACTTGCGTCCACTCCTTCCTGCAGAGGCAGGGCCAAGGCCGGTTGGCCACTGAGAGGCAGGCGCGGCCGGCTGGGAGCATCACAGACAATGAGCGCAGTGTGCAGCCGGCCTGGCAGAGGACAGGAAGCTCCAGGGGCCAGGCGAGCTCCCCGCCCCCACGCCAGACAAAGAGCGGCCCGGGCCTGGGGAGCTGGCGGCCTTCCCGCCACTGGGGCGCCGGGGTGGGGGGCTCGCGGGCGGGGCGCGGGGGCTTTGTCTAACTCCACCACTGCCACCATCACCATCCCCGTCACCGTCACCGCCGGCCAGGCCGCAGCTTGGCAAAGCAGGAGCAAGAGGCAGGGCCGGAGGGCGTGAGGGATGATGACAAGGAAGCCGGGGAGCGGCTGGCGGCAAGAGTCCATCTTGGATGCGGATGGCCGGGGCGCCAGGCTCTCTGCAGAGGGGCTGGGGAGCTGGGCGGCCCCCACTAAGTGCAAGGGACCTGGGGACCCCGCGGACTCCTGTATTCCTTCCTCCTGGCAGCAGGCAGTAAAAGACAGACAGGTGCTGGTGAGCCCCGAACGGAGCTGCAGGGGCCAGGGGTGTCTCTGTCCCTGTGACCCCAGACCCAAAATCCCAGCTTGAGGGGCCGTGCCCCGACTCTAGCGGGGCAGCATGAGCTCGCTGGCCCCGGGCAGCCTGGCAGCCGGACTCCCAGCCCTTCCCACCCCGGCCAGGTGCAGAAGGCGCCAGCGAAATCCCACCTGGCAACAAAGCCGCTCTTTGTAAGGTTCCCGGACCCCAGAGGGGTGAGCACCTCTAAGGCAACAAAGTGGCTGCTGCTCCTGGGGACTAGCTACAATGTGCCTTCAACTCTTCTTCCCCGGTATCCCCATCTTAGCCCTTTCCAAGCCGCAAATGTCACTGCCCAAGAAGTTCAATTCATACAGACACATGCACCTGGCTTTCTCAGTATCTTCGGAGCTCTCGGGCCGACACTCCGAAGCCAGGCCCCAGACTTGAGGTGACGGCCAGCGTGGCATTTCTGACCAGCAGGGACATCCCCTCCCCCTCGAGGCCTTTGCCCCCTGCACCCTCGCCCAGCGCACCTCTCCTTGGGACAATCCGTCCCAGTCAAGGGTCTCCAGAGGAGGAACCGGGAGGGCGGTCACCTCCCACGCCGCGATCGTGCACCCCTGCCCCGCGGTTCCCTCGGTGGCCGCGGGCGAGCCCAAGGCCACAGCCCAGCGCTGCCCGACAACTTCGGGAGGAGTTTCCCGGGAGGACGGGAGAGGGCAGCCCCTCGGCTTCTGCAGAGGCCGCACGTGGGCTGGGGGACGAGGTCCCCGCGTGTCGCCGCCGCCCGCCCCGCAGACCGCGGTCTTCCCCAACTTCTCCCCTCCGCGTCCGGCCGGCCGCGCCCCAGAGGCGGCGGGACCCGGCGCCGGCCCCCGCGTGGCCC